TAGATGCCTAGAGCGTGTGCGTATCAGTGCTCCAGATAGTGACATCATCTGCGTACATAGCTACGTTCGCAGGCAATGTTTTGGGTAGATCGTTAATATATATAAGGAAGAGAAGAGGGCCGAGAACAGATCCCTGGGGGACTCCGGTTGTAATAATATTTGGTTCGGATACTGTACCGTTAACCCTTATCCTAACAGTGCGATGAGAGAGAAAGCTGCTAATAAGTGATAGAAGAGGATCAGTGATACCACACACCCCCAGCTTGTGTATGAGTGGGACGTGTGGGACCTTGTCGAAGGCTTTGGCGAAATCTATGTATACGGCGTACGAGATTTGGCCTTCATCATAAGCCTTTGTTAAACCATCCATGACAGTCAGCATATCGGTGATGCAAGATCTGCCTGGCAGAAATCCATGCTGGAAGGTAGAGAGTAAATTATTTGCGCAGAGGTGCTTCAAGATGGCCTCTTTCAGTATGCGCTCTAGAATTTTGCTCTAGAATTGCTCTAGAATTTTGTTGATTTTGTTTTACCGGCTCCTTCCAATGTTCCCAGTCTGCATTGCTCTTGGTTGCTTGTTGACCGCATTTATCGATTAGATTTTGATTCAAAGTAGCTTATATTCACGTAAGCTTATCTATGCGCCCATGTTTAACTACCTGACTCGAGTCCTTGTCCACTTGGCATCCCACCTCCCCTATGTCGGCACCCATTGGCAATTCATTTTCGATCATGTGACCTTCCGATTGCCTCCTCACAGGCATGCACACACACGCACGCACCCGCATCCCTCTCTCTCACACACGAGCACCTTCTCCGGCACATGTTCCCTCGTTTAACTGTGACATGACCCTTGTGACCTTGTGCCCCGACTGTGATTGGACAGTCCTCGTGACAGTCAGTCATGTGTCTATCCTTATCACTCGGTGTCTATGTTTCGTCCGGCCAGAGTTTGCTTCGTTCGGCCACCGGAGGTTTTGTCCGCTCGATTGGCTCTAGTAGCTGTTATCTGTATCAGCCTTGATCGATTGACTTTTCGGTGTATAGTGGCTGTTCGTCAACCATTTCGCACTTGAGCGACGCCTAGCGAACCGATACGATACCCGATTTAAAAACACATTTGATCTGCAATGTTCTACGGTAGTGATTTGACAAAATCATTACAAAATGTTCAATAAAGCAAACCTCAAATATGCGGCCAAATGCACTCAAACAAGCGAGCTAAATAAGATGTCCAGATGGGAGGAAACAGTTGCTCCCGTTCTCAATTGACGCCTAATTCAAATGGACCGGGTATCGAATTAGCGCATAAATAATGATGTATGGTGTTTGTGATCGAGAAATTTCAATATAGGAGCAACACACAGATAAAGTTATTTCACCATAGGTCATTTTGGGTTCGGAAGGATTCTCAAAAATTGAGCATGAAATACACCAGCCGCCAAAATCCTTCCTGCTCTTCTAAGTCAAAGGTTTGGCGCCTACCTAGTCTCTGCTGTCAGTGCTTCTGCCTACGACCTGTTCAGCCTTCGCCGCAATCGTTGATTTTGACCTCTGGCGACTTGCACATTGTTATTGTGTATAAGTGAATGGATAGGTGTTGTGGGGACATGGATCACACTTTCGAGGTTAATGTCATAAATTGTGTATCAATTTCATAAAAAGACACTCAGTTACGAAATGAAATAGAAAAAACGTATGGCAAGGACGTGGAAGCACGCGTTTATATACAGGTGGGGTGAATATCACTGGGGCGCAATTGGTATAAATGGAAGGCAAGTGAATATAATACATGGTGGGCCTCCACAACTCCATCAGGCAACGGCATGGTGGTCATCTCCCTCCAACAAACACTCGTCGAATATCGCGCACCTGTTCACCGGCAGATGTTTTCAATTTCACTGTTCTTACTAGTCCATCCGAGTCCGTGTGGCTTTCAATGACTACACCCAGTGGCCAGTTGTCGCGCTGTAGCTTTTCGTCGGCCATAAGAGCAACGTCCCCAACCTTCAGTGACCGTCCTCTATGCAACCACTTCTGTTGGGCTCAAAGGGGTGACAGGTACTCTCTTGTCTAACGCTTCCAAAACACCCGTGCCAAGTATTTCGCATGCTTCCAATAAGCGCTGTAGCAGCCATTCATGGTTTTCGGCAGATCTAAGCCAGTATTGGATCTCAGGAGCAGAAAGTCACTGGGGGTTAGCGCCAGTCCTTGCAGGGTCTCATCCCAAGTGACCTTTTTCTACACAGGTCCTGCAGCAAAATCTTGCCCAGTAGTAGCCACGGTGCGACGAACCCCATTGGATCGTGAAGGCTGGCCAACGAAGACAGAATTCCTGTGTGGGTCGCTGGCATCTGGAGTTAGAACAAGAATTCGTCTTTCTCCGAGTCCCATTGCAAACCAAGTACTCTATCTGTTTGTAACGGACTACCCTGCAATTTACGGAGACTCGGCGCCTGCTCATCAGCTGGGACGCAATCGATTGCGTGACGATTGTTGGACATCCAATTCGTTACCTTGAATCCTCCCATGAGCAGTAACTTGGATAGATCTCTAATGTGTCGAACTGCTTCCTCGATGCTATCAAAAGATCCCAGGAAGTCCTCCACATAAAAATTATGTTCAACACAGGAGCTCAACGGGGTTTTGAAATGCTGAGCAAATTTGTTAACGGTAGTTTTTAACGTGAAGTTTGCACAGAAGAAAGAGGAATTTGCGCCAAACGGGTGCACCGTCATCCGATACTCTTGGGCAAGTCCGTCTAGGTCTCCATCCGGCCACCAACACAACCGTAGAGCATCCCTTTGCCCTTCGGGGACTTTGACTTGCATGAACATCTCCTCGATATCAGCCGCTACTGCAACTGACCCCAGACGAAATCTGCATAGCACCTCAATCAGCGGAGTAGTCAGGTCTGGGCCTTGTAATAGGCGGTCATTTA